CTGTTTTTGGCAGACTCAATCCTTGTCTGGCTGCCAAAGACATTCCTAATGAACCTGGATCAGCAAAACCCCACAGCTTTCCAGGATCTGAGAAGGCAGAAACTGTCAAAGACTAACTTTCTATTATTTTTAGAAGTTCCTTTCCCAGCACCCATGGCTCTGAGGCAGAGAAAGTACCAATCCAATATGCAGGTCTGACTTCTGGCCTTGGATATAAGCTACAGATGGACAAGAGAGGACATACTTTCTTAGATAGATGAAATGGGGGGGGGGGGGAGAAGAACCAAGATGGCCAACTGAGGAGAAAAGGAAAGGAAAAAGCCAAGAGACTAATGGGAGGGGAAACACCTCAGAAAAAAAGAAACAACGCCCTACCACACACCCCAAGTTCCCATAACCCAAATGCTAGACCGGAAGCAAATCAATTCCTCTAGCTAGAAACAATTCCTACAAATGACCCACTGCAGCAAATCTAACTGTTCCATACAACCACACACACATGCCTAAAAGGAGCAACCCAGAAAATGGGCAAGCTCTTGGCAAGAGGTCAGGACCACTGTGCTAGTCTCTTGACCACCCAGGATTGGTGGGCAGAGCAAGCTGGAGGGCATGCAAGGAGCCTGGGGACTCAGAATTGGGATGGCAGGGGCTGGCACTGTTTAAGCCCCACCCCCAGCCAACCTGAACAGTGAGGAACAGGGTATTTGCATGAGCTTCCAGAGTCTGGACAGCAGGTGAGATGTAGGGGCAGCAGGCCCAATGCAGGACCTATATGGCTCCAAGATACCTCATCCAAGCATGAGCATCAGTGGAAGAAAAGGGCTGGCAAAAGAATCGCCTTTAAATTTAAAACACTGCAAAGTTTACATTTAAAGCCCAAACAAGAATTCCTTAACCAAATCATTTTGTGTGTTTAAATAAACCTAGTCTGACACATTTCCACTTGAAGACAGCTGTCCCCACTGTCTTTAGTGGCCACTTTGGTATGAGTGTTCCCCTACAGAAGCTAACAGCCTTTTCCATCAAGGAGGAAAGCCAAGAACATAACCCAGGTCTTGCGCCAATTCTGTTCTTTAGCCTTAATAGGCAACGAAGAAAGGAAAACATATATAGGACCAAAATAACAAACAAAGAAAAAAACACTCAAATGAAACAGGAGATGGGGCAGCTACATCAGGATTAGCCAGAGTTCTAGGAGGGCACAGGGCCTCAGTGTCTCCGCATCTTCACCTTCCGGGTGGGGCTGCCTGCTCCCTCCGGGCAATCTTCTGAGGACTCATAGGACTTGCGCCAATAGTTCTCAGAGCTAAAGCTACCCCTCCCCCTGTGTGTGGGTAGAAGCACAGACCTCCGGTTTTCTTCTTTGTCCATCTCCAGGATCCGGGGTCTGCAAACAATGGATACAAGCTATTACTTGAGAAGTCAGGAGTTGCCTAATCTTGCCACCACTGTAGGGGATTCAGAAGCACCCCCATCCTAGCATTGAGTTACTTTTCTCAGTAGATCTCAATCCAGATGTACTAACAGTGGTGGGGCCTGCCCACTAAGTGACAGTAGGCAGTCCTTATCTTGGGGATGTCTCTTAGTCACCTGGTGGAGTCTATTCTGACTGTGGAGCTCAGTACCCTTTCATGTCTGCTGGGTCCTGCCATGTATCTCTACTTCCCATTTCTCCTGTTCATAATCATCCCTGCAACTCTTGCAACCCCCATGGTCTCTAAAACCACCATGCTCTTTTCTGCCTCAGGGCTTTAGCTCTTACACAACTTCTCTCCTAGAATGCCCATACACACAGCTTTCTCACCCTTCTGGTGTCTTTTGTTTTTGTTTTTTCGAGACAGGGTTTCTCTGTGTAGCTTTTTGGAGCCTATCCTGGCACTCACTCTGGAGACCAGGCTGGCCTTGAATTCACAGAGATCCGCCTGCCTCTGCCTCCCGAGTGCTGGGATTAAAGGCGTGCACCACCACTGCCCGGCGCTTCTGGTGTCATTTTAAACAATGCCCTTCCATAAACCCTCTCCAAGAAATGCCTGGTTCACTTCTAAGTGCCAAGATGCTCTCTTACAACTACAGGCTCCTAAGCAGTCTTCAGACAGACCATCAGCTGCACTGCAGGCTGTTGAGGGCTCTAAGTACCTGTGGGCAGCATCAGGGTCTGCCTTGCGGTGGGACCTTTTGGGTTTCAGCGCAGGATCTCTGCTGTTTCCTGACAGTCGATCTGAAGTATAGTTGGGTGGCAATGTGGAGCTGCTCAGGGATTTTGTTTCCAAACGCGGCGCATCTAATCTTGTCCTGTAAGGGAAACACAAAAAGGGTCTCAAGAGGGCCTCTGGTTAAGTAATAAGCCCCATAAGAACAGATATATCTCCAGTGAAGACTGGATTGGCATGCAAACTAGCAGTCTGTGTTCTGTGCCTTGGTCTCTTCATGGTTCAACTAGAGATTGGTCTAGTGACTTCCAGAGAATGTCACTTCTGTTTGGATAGCTCCAATGTGTGCTATGCACGCAGACAGACCCAAGGCACTCTCAGCCACAGAAGGCAGCATTTCTTGGTGCTTTTGGTTTTTCAAGACAGTTTCTCTGTATAATAGCCCTAGCTACCCTGAAACTTGCTTTATAGACAAAGCTGGCCTCGAACTCAAAGAAATCCACCTGCCTTTGCCTCCCAAATGCTGGGATTAAAGGCGTGCTGCACCACCTGCAGCACCATCTGCAGCAGCAGCAGCAGCAGCAGCACCACCACCACCACCTGGCTGAAGGCAGCAGCTTTTAACCCAGTCAGACTTGTAGTTTCTCAAGTATCATCTACCCAACCTGCCAGTGAACTCTGGGTATACCTCAATAGATACTGTCCATCCCTACCAGGAATACAAACACAGGGAGGGTTTTGCCCCAGGTCTACAGAAGAGGTGGAGAAAAGCAGAACCACTTTACTTTCTCTTAGACACAGGGTCATGAAGGCTAAATGGCAGAGTCAGGAAATGGAGAAAAGCCTAGCCTACTCCATACTCCTGCTATACTCACTTAAGCAGTGGCCCTTAGGGGAATGTTAAACAAGCAGAGACCAAAAGGGCTTCTTTTTTAATAACAATATATAATATATACCACACCATATTTTTATTATATATAATATATAAATAATATTATATTTAATTATGTGTATGTATGTGTGTTGTGGGGGTATATGCAGGCATCAAGTGTAGTTGCCTGTGGAGGCCAGAAGAGAGCATCAGATCCCTTAGAGCTGGGGTTATAGTGAAAGACCCCGAAGAGGCACTTTCGTAGAGGGAGACCCACACACCCAGGAACCAGCGAGGCCACGAACTGGATGTAAAAAACAAGAGGCTTTATTAAGGGATGGCCAAAGTTAGGGAAACCAAGATCTAGCCACTCGTACTCTCCCGAGGAATAAAGAACACATCCACTATACTCACCCTCTGTTCATCCAGTCACTAACTAGGGTGGGGGTCCCTGGCAGACCTCTGGCTCCAATGGCAAAACAAGCCGTTGAGCTCAGGCTCCTACTACCCATCATTATGTGAATCCTACATCCCATTGCTCTCAGTGGCTTCCTATAGCCATCCAGGTTAGTATCAATTTCCTCCTCATTTCTAGTCTGTTCCAGCATAATGGATGCCTCAGAACTTGTGTTCCCTCTTTTTGTGGTGCCATGAATGGAACTGGAGGTTCAGACATGCTAAGCAAGCCTCTAGTGTGGCGCTATATCCCTAGGCCAAAGAGCACCTCTCTGGCCAAATTACCTCAGAACCTGAGATCCTTCTGTTCTTGGATGAGACCCAACCATTTGAGTACCTCATGCATATCTCTATTAAGACTTTCTCGACTTGCCCCTCTCTGGTGAGTATTCAGTGGCTAACGTCCCCAAAGGACACGAAGGTAAAGAGATCACTCAGGAGTGACCTGAGAGGTCTCATTGCTGTCAGATATGGCCATGGACATGGTTAACTGGTACTTCCAGATTACAGACAGTGAAAAACAGAAGGGACAACATAAGAAACAGTCCAGAAGAAGCTTGATGCATGAGAGCTGAGGGATCCATGGGCTCACAATAAGATTAGGAGATACATTGGTGTTTTTACAAAAAATGCCACCCCCCCCCCCCCCCCCCCCCCCCCCCGT